CTTTTACAGCAATTGCGCGTAAACAATGCACATATTTTATATTGTATAAAATTATTTTTAAAATAATATTTATATAAAATTACAAATTTGTAATATATAATAGACTATAACCAAATGGTTATTATTTAATCTGTAATGAGCAGAGTTCTAGATCCCGATAGATTTATCTTTGTCTTAAAGACAATTCAATTGATGACGTTTAAAGCACTGCTGAATTGCATTTAATTATAATAAGACAGATATTTGTTTTACTAAATAAAAATTCTTATATTTATATAATTTATCTCTGATCTATCACCCATATCATAAAGTCGGCAGGATGGTCGAGTCGACTAAAGCGTCAGCCTATCGCTCCGGGCGGATTCGGGATCGAGTTCGGGCGATCGGAAAACCTTAGAAATTTTTCAGGGGCCATCCGTCCTGGATATGTTGGGCCTCGTCCCTCGCGCATTGTAGGGCTGGCCGAATGCACGATTGATTGAAAGACCTTCTTAATGCCCACAGAGCGGAAAAATTCAAAAATAATTTAAAAAGTCATATCATAAAAGTGTTATGATAGTACTTAAATTAATATCTGTTATATGTGATTATAATTATGAATATAATTAGTGATCTTTCTGGCTTTAACATTATCTTAGCTACAGCCTGATATTAGCATACTAAAAAACTGGAGTGTGGAAATTTCTTGTAGTAGTGATTGATATTGTAGTTTCTTACTTCCTTTTTTTATTCTGACGCTGTTGTTTTGAATCATTCACAGCATATTAGAATATACTAATAAAATCGATTCCCATAAAATTATTCTAGTAAATTTGGTATTTGAATTCATATGATTTGAAAGGCATATAAACTATAGACATATTTTCGATATTTCATTTCATAATTTATATTAATGCTTAAAGGTGATGTTATTAGTGACTATATATCACGCGCCATAATTATCTTATTTTTCCTTATACCGTAAATGCAATCTATATGACGCATGCTTATCTTCTGAAATACATTACGTAAACACAAAGCTTCATTTTAGCTATGTCCTTGGTTAACTGATTGATATTTACAGGATGAAAACGTGATAAATTATCATACGAAAATTGCAATATTATATTTGTCAGTAATTTCATTTATTTCTAAACATTTTAGAAGCAAATTTCATTCTTTTATCGCATAACAAGTTAATTAAATTTCATATTTAAATTTGTTTATACAGAGTTGAAAGTTTTTTCAAAATAGCTTAGGAAATTACTCTGTTTTTCTGGAATTATAATTTTTCTAATTGTTTTATATTTGATATAAATCATTAAAGGAAATGAAATGTATTTAATAATAATGATACAATTCAAGCTTTTGAGCAGGAAGATCCGGGTTCGATTTTTTTTAGAAAGAATCTTTTTTTAATATTTTACAAAACTTTCGCAAATGCTTCAGAAAATAAAGTATTTATTGTTATTTTTATAGATATGTTTTATAACTTATTAGTTTCAATGAGGAGAGTCCTCTTTTTATTGAAAATATCGTAAATAACAATAAAACATATCTATAAAAATAACAATAAATACTTTATTTTCTGAAGCATTCACGAAAGTTTTGTAAAATATTAAAAAAAGATTCTTTCTAAAAAAAATCGAACCCGGATCTTCCTGCTCAAAAGCTTGAATTGTATCATTATTGAAAATATCGTAAATAACAATACAATTACATTAAAAAAAATTTGTTTTCTATAATTAGTTTTATGTATACACTAGCGAAATGCTTATGGGCCGCACTCGTTGATATAGCCCAAGAAACATGAAAAAGAAAAAAGAGTTAAAGTAATAGGAAGGATTTAGGTTGAAGGTGAAAGAAAGCGAGATAGGACAGAATGAAAGCGAAGATACCCCATAAAACCCCAAGGCCCCGCATCGCCTTTATTCAATTAAAGAAAGAAAGTAATTACAAAGAAAACGTATACAGTAATACCTCGGTTTTCGTTGACTTCAGTTATCATCGATTTTTTTCGCGAAAAATTTGTCTCGGTTTTCGTCGGTTTCGGATTTCGCCAATTGTTTTCGGACGGATTATCGACGAAAACCGAGGTATCAATGTATAGTAATTCTCTATATTTTAAGTATTTTATTTGCTTATATCCTTTATGTTTTTACTTTACATTATTATCATGAACAATAGATGACTGATATCCACTGGAATATATATATTTCAGCAAACGAAACAGTAATAAGTAATGTTTATAATACCAAAATCAAATATATTTTCCTTCTCTGAACTGAATTTATGCTTTTCGCTAAAATAATATTCAATCATTAAAAGATAAATTTTAAAAATACATAAAATTTTAAATATTTTCAATATAAAGTTTTATCCAATGAAGATGTGAATAATTTTGCTAAATTTATAATTTTATTAAACATAGTTTACAGACATAAAATACATATACACTGTCAAAGACCCCTCTGAGAACTCAAATTTGTCCGAAACACAGATGTCTTAGCCGGTCCTGATATATATACATATAATTGTATAAAATAATCTACTAATAATTAATAAAAATATTAATATAAGCATAATATACAATAATAATTTTCATTAATAATTTCTTAAATTATTTACGATCGATTTGAAGAATTCACAGTGTCCTTTCTCATTTATCCCTTGAGGGCACATGATTATTATTGATTTATATTGATAGTACTCATAGTAGTTATTACAAACATTTACAGGAAATTTTTAAAAATAGAAAAATATCGTTAACTATTATAGAAAATTATTATTAAAAAGTAGAGAAAATCTTATTAATGTCTTTCGGAATGTAAAAGGCGTATTTGTAAAACCATAATTTTTATGTTTACCTCAAAATTATGCATATTTGGCTTATCGCTATCCTCGTGTTGTATATGGTTTATTTTTAATTATAATTACTCGAAATATTTAGGATTTAATTAATATTTTCCAAATGTTATTTATGTACAGAAACACATTCAAAATAATTTTTTTTTTTAAATTGCAAAATAAAAAATTTTCATTTCAAATTATCACACTTTACGCATTTGTTTCTGATTTTTAAATAACATTATGCTAAATATTTTGCATTTAAAACATTAGAAGTTCGGGCGATCGGAAAACCTTTGAAATTTTTCAGGGGCCATCCGTCCTGGATATGTTGGGCCTCGTCCCTCGCGCATTGTAGGGCTGGCCGAATGCACGATTGATTGAAAGACCTTCTTAATGCCCACAGAGCGGAAAAATTCAAAAATAATTTAAAAAGTCATATCATAAAAGTGTTATGATAGTACTTAAATTAATATCTGTTATATGTGATTATAATTATCAATATAATTAGTGATCTTTCTGGCTTTAACATTATCTTAGCTACAGCCTGATATTAGCATACTAAAAAACTGGAGTGTGGAAATTTCTTGTAGTAGTGATTGATATTGTAGTTTCTTACTTCCTTTTTTTATTCTGACGCTGTTGTTTTGAATCATTCACAGCATATTAGAATATACTAATAAAATCGATTCCCATAAAATTATTCTAGTAAATTTGGTATTTGAATTCATATGATTTGAAAGGCATATAAACTATAGACATATTTTCGATATTTCATTTCATAATTTATATTAATGCTTAAAGGTGATGTTATTAGTGACTATATATCACGCGCCATAATTATCTTATTTTTCCTTATACCGTAAATGCAATCTATATGACGCATGCTTATCTTCTGAAATACATTACGTAAACACAAAGCTTCATTTTAGCTATGTCCTTGGTTAACTGATTGATATTTACAGGATGAAAACGTGATAAATTATCATACGAAAATTGCAATATTATATTTGTCAGTAATTTCATTTATTTCTAAACATTTTAGAAGCAAATTTCATTCTTTTATCGCATAACAAGTTAATTAAATTTCATATTTAAATTTGTTTATACAGAGTTGAAAGTTTTTTCAAAATAGCTTAGGAAATTACTCTGTTTTTCTGGAATTATAATTTTTCTAATTGTTTTATATTTGATATAAATCATTAAAGGAAATGAAATGTATTTAATAATAATGATACAATTCAAGCTTTTGAGCAGGAAGATCCGGGTTCGATTTTTTTTAGAAAGAATCTTTTTTTAATATTTTACAAAACTTTCGCAAATGCTTCAGAAAATAAAGTATTTATTGTTATTTTTATAGATATGTTTTATAACTTATTAGTTTCAATGAGGAGAGTCCTCTTTTTATTGAAAATATCGTAAATAACAATACAATTACATTAAAAAAAATTTGTTTTCTATAATTAGTTTTATGTATACACTAGCGAAATGCTTATGGGCCGCACTCGTTGATATAGCCCAAGAAACATGAAAAAGAAAAAAGAGTTAAAGTAATAGGAAGGATTTAGGTTGAAGGTGAAAGAAAGCGAGATAGGACAGAATGAAAGCGAAGATACCCCATAAAACCCCAAGGCCCCGCATCGCCTTTATTAAAAATAGAAAAATATCGTTAACTATTATAGAAAATTATTATTAAAAAGTAGAGAAAATCTCATTAATGTCTTTCGGAATGTAAAAGGCGTATTTGTAAAACCATAATTTTTATGTTTACCTCAAAATTATGCATATTTGGCTTATCGCCATCCTCGTGTTGTATATGGTTTATTTTTAATTATAATTACTTGAAATATTTTCCAAATGTTATTTATGTACAGAAACACATTCAAAATAATTTTTTTTTTTAAATTGCAAAATAAAAAACTTTCAAATTATCACACTTTACGCATTTGTTTCTGATTTTTAAATAACATTATGCTAAATATTTTGCATTTAAAACATTAGAAAACCTGTTATAAGTCATAAATATATAATTATAAAATAATTAATCTCAGGAAATCATTAGAAGTAGATGACAACAGAAATTTGTTTCGTAAGTTAATTTATTACTCGAAAAATACATGACAAGGTATTTTAAATTAATAATAAGGAAAAATAGCGTATAAACAAAACTTGTGTATATATATGTTCGGATTTTGATCTAAACTATCGCAAAAATCTTTAAAGAAAATAATAAATAAATAAGCAATTAAAATTTTTATTTTTCAAGGTGAGCCAGTTGATACTCTGACAGCAAATAGAAACAATCATCTAAAGGTAAGAGAACAGGATACACGCTTTAAAATCCTCTTATAAAATATTTTATACATTTATAAGACTATTTTTAAGACTTTATTTTTCATTATCAATTAAAAATACATTAAATATATGTAATTAATTTTGAATTTGGATAATATACATCGATTATTACATAATTTATCTTATTGTTTACATTTTTAAATATTTAAATAGTAAATATCGATATTTACTATTTAAAGTTTGTCGCAGAATGATATTTACTATAGCATTTTGACTATGTACAGTACAATAGTTGATTCTGCTGACGTATTTCTAATAGACGATACTTGTTTTCGTGATAAGGTTTGGCCACCCCTGCTATATAGATTATAACTATTATTGCTCGAATAATTATAACTTCTAAACAATATTCTCTTCGTTTTATTTCAATAAAATTAAGTCAAGTATTCGATATTATTCACTTATAAACGGGAATATTAGTTTTGTATGGTTTCGTGTCTTTCTATTGATAACAAAGAAGACACAAAAAGTTATTGGGACATGTGACAAGCGGAAGAAATTACTTAATATGTTTGCAGAAAATTATATCGATAGTATTGTATACACAAAATATACAGTCGTAGAGAATATCTTTTAAAATTATATACTATTTATATATCTAAAATAAAATTTCAAGATACAATATTGATAGAGATAAGTATTTTTGTTTATAGAATAGTCTTTAAAGAAAGTAGAGAAAAGTACTATTATGTAAGTTATAACAAGGCGTTTATAAAAATAATTAGAAGATATTAATGTGTATTTTATAAATAATAGAAAATTTTCTGAAAAAAACAACCGGACGTAGTTGATCGAGCTCGTTTGTATGTTTTAAGCATTTGAAAATAACAGAGTGGGACAACAAGAAAATATATTTGTGCTTTTCCGTAAGTGTTCTATTCTTTTAAACAAGTTTAATTGGTTTAAAAAACAAGAATACTAATATAAAACAAAATGTTTATCACATAGTATCATAATTGTTGTAATATGTTAAATAAATGTTGTATTGCTAAAGGTTCTTCAATCTGATAATATAATATTCTTATAGGCTATTTAACATATCACATGAATTATTCTTNATAGCGCTTCGATAATACAACGCTTTTCAATTATATTTATTTTTATTATTTTTGGAGCCTCCTTTCTCTTAAGAGATTTTCGGTATATTTTATTTAGTATTTTTACTTATGTGTCGTTTTCTTAGGCCAAAGAGTTATTGCGCACTTAATAATGATATTACACGTGTAAATATGTTTTTAGGCTTTTATATGCACTGGCAAATGGAGGAAAAAATCTGTTTCGTTTTAAGACGATATTCGTTTTACGGCGGTGGTTTGAAACCTAACCCAATATATTAGAGAAATGCGCCTGTACACTTATGTGTATGGACGTTACGTGTAAATATTAAAGCCTTTATATACAAGACGAGGCTTTAGTATACAAGAGAAAAAAACAAGTGTATATATGTTTTCTTGTCTTCTTTGATTTTTGCGTTTATAAAATTCTATTCTTTCAACATATAGTACACATGAATTTTATTTGTAGTCTAATATAGGCCTATATTTTTTGAAATTTTATACGTTTGCTTTAATGTAATATTTAATTAATGTAAATTATTTATTTATGAAAAAAATTTAATTATTTAACTAGATAAGAGTTATTTAACTGAAAACTTTAAAATCAGGTCATATTTACGTCATATTTTTTGTTGTATTCTAGCAATAACTGATGATTTGTAGCAAATTCTGCATTTTGACCAAGCATTTATAAATATAATAAATTCAGTTACAATTAAAGACCCTTGCTTAATTTACAATATTCATTACCCTTATATAATATTTTGCAACGTGACAGTTTTTATTAGGCTTTAGTTTCCTCCTACATCCGATAATTTTCTAATAAAATAAATGTCTTCGTATTGAAGGTTATATTTGAAAAGTGTGCGATTTGCATTTAAAATTGTGTAAATTGTTACGTAATTTTTAAAATCAAATTCTAATAATAATAAATTTAGTATAAATCGTGACTAAATATCATTCGATGTGTTCAAAAGTACTCTTGATTACATAAATTATATTACTGAATAAGAGAAGTTTATTGTTATGTTATTTACTTTAAAACATTATTTTTGGATGAAGCCTTTATATATACTATCAATATGTGTAGGCATACCTCGTTTTATAGCGCTTCGATAATACAACGCTTTTCAATTATATTTATTTTTATTATTTTTGGAGCCTCCTTTCTCTTAAGAGATTTTCGGTATATTTTATTTAGTATTTTTACTTATGTGTCGTTTTCTTAGGCCAAAGAGTTATTGCGCACTTAATAATGATATTACACGTGTAAATATGTTTTTAGGCTTTTATATGCACTGGCAAATGGAGGAAAAAATCTGTTTCGTTTTAAGACGATATTCGTTTTACGGCGGTGGTTTGAAACCTAACCCAATATATTAGAGAAATGCGCCTGTACACTTATGTGTATGGACGTTACGTGTAAATATTAAAGCCTTTATATACAAGACGAGGCTTTAGTATACAAGAGAAAAAAACAAGTGTATATATGTTTTCTTGTCTTCTTTGATTTTTGCGTTTATAAAATTCTATTCTTTCAACATATAGTACACATGAATTTTATTTGTAGTCTAATATAGGCCTATATTTTTTGAAATTTTATACGTTTGCTTTAATGTAATATTTAATTAATGTAAATTAGGAAAAAAATGTACTGAATTTAAGATCAAATATTTTAATTTGTCAAATATTAATTTGAAAAAATATTAAATTCATAAATATGATTAAAAATAATATTTTATTAATGTGACTTTAATTAAATATCCAAGTTTGTTTTAAATAAATTGAATTTTAACGATTGATTATGTAGAAAGTCCGTATAATTAGACATGTAATAAATTAATCCTGAGTCATGTTTCTTAAATTTTAAATTATGTAAAATATAGGCTAATTCTAATTCTACTAATCCTATAAATAAAATTAACAACTTTCTGTATTTTTCTTCTTTTTTATTTTAAAAGTAATTAAAATAAAAAAAGAAGAAAAGTTTAATATATAAAAAAAAGTTTTAAAAGTAAGGCGCTCGTTAATTAATTACATTTGTTTTCATTTAAAAGGAAAAATGGAAAATACTTGTTAGATATTTGTAATTTATTCAGCATTCAGTAGTTGCAAATATTTCTTAGAATTTTAATATTTATTCTTTTATTACAATTGAATTGTACTTGATGATAAATTAGGACAGTTCTTAATATTTCAAATATCGAAATATCTAGAGAGAAGACACCATTAACGCATGAGCACACCCGGTCATGTTCGGGGACCTCGTTTCTTAGGGGCCTCATGTGAGACAAGGTACTTCATTGTTTATTATTAATATTCTTGTTCTAAATGTGCATCTGTTTAATGCACCTAAAAATTGATTCAGGATCTTCAAAAGCACGTCCTATCTAGAGAACAGTAAGATCCACTAGGACTTAGAAAAGTCTTTTTTAGTAATCAAGATTCAAATAATACCCAGAGTTTCTAGCTTGAATTAATTCAATTCCAATTATGTGATGCCTTTATTAGGAGTGTTCCTGTTTCAATCGTACAATTTATTAATATTTTGGTCAGCTTGTTAATTTAGTGAAAAAATATTAACAAAAAACTTTTTTGAAAACAATTTCTTACAGATACATATTCTATATTTTTGTACACTTACAGATACATATTCTAATATATTAGATTAAATTTTGTCAGTTGATAGTCTTTATGTTTTTTTGACTGCAATTTAGAAAAAAATGTAAACCTATAAATTCTCAGTCGTCCGTCTGTTTGTCTCTCTGGCTTTCCTTAATCTCGAGAACGGAGATAGATATATGAAATACGAGACCAGATATGAAAACCTTAGGGCAGAAGTCCCAATTAACTATAGAGGAACTTCCGATGCAAACCAGGAGTTACGTTATTTCAAATAAATTAAAAATATGAAAATTATCCTTGAAATTAAATGTACCTTTAACTAAAAGATATTCGGCGAAAACCATTCAATTAAAAACATTTTTATAAGCAAGCCGTTTATAAGAAATTCATTACGATTGTATCCATTCGGTTCTCTTTTATCTTTGACTAATAGCCTATAATAGCGAAATGAATTACTTGCAGCTAACATGCTATTTAATAAAAGTTTTAATTGAATGACTTTTATCAAATATTTTCTTCTTTTGCTTCCTAAATTTATTTAGCTTCAAAATTAGAAAATGTAGAAAACCAGTAACTGGCTTAACTTATTAATTTATTTGGAATTAAATCTTAAGATATATTTACGAGCTCACTTATTAATGTGCTAAAATAGCTTAACTTCTGGTAAAAAAAAATATACAAGACTGAATAAATTATGAATTAAAAAAATTGAAGGTTTTCTGTGTTTGAAAAACACAGAAAACCAAAGAAGTAAAATACTTCTTTTAAACACTGCTAGTCCTTGAATTAAACACGCAATACACTGATTGATTGATAGATAAAATCCTATTTTGAGAAAAATGTCATTTATTTTATCTTAAAATCATATCTTCGGAAAATTTAGTTATTGTTATTATTATAAAAAATTACTTCGGAGAATTCGTTGCAAAATCCATTCATTAAATATTCTGATTTATGAACATTTTCGTGATAGTAAAACATTAGAGTTTTTTTATTTTCAAATTCAAATGATTGAAGTTAATTATAATAAAGTATGCGAACTTATTTAACTAATTCAAAAATTATCTATAATTTTATTCTAAAATAATGTATTAAAGTGACTATTTAAATTTTTTAAATTGAAACTCTATGAAATAAAACTTTTCGAGTAGCATGATTTTGGAATAAGGAATAGAATTGTATCAACAAGAACAATATGATAATAAAGAGTCTTTTAATAGACTAATTCATTTTAAATGAATTTCAATAGTTATCTTTATGTTCTTGTAACGAAAATTACAGAAATAGTGAATAAAAGAGCAAAATACATTTAGATAAAAATTCAAATATATTATGAAAGTATCATTTTAATGACACTGTAAACAATGAAAATTAATGTTATATCGAGAAAGTTTCCCTAAACCAGTGTTTCTCAACCTCTAACGAATCGTCGCCCCCTTCAACGTAGTATCGCTCCCTTCACTTCAAAATTCCGATGCCAAGGGACAAGGTTAACGCCAAATTCGGACTGCATTGAATAGACTAGTAACTAGTATAATGTTATTTGTCTAATTATTGTACAACATAACGAATAAAATATCTAATTATTCTTAATATAATGTTATCGCCCATAATATATATATATACAAAATATAAATTGTTACTAATCGCCCCCTCAACATGGAAAAACGCCCACATGGGTGTGATATCGTCCCATTGAGAAACACTGCCCTACACCAGTGTTTTTCAACCTGTGGGTCGCGACCCCCCTGGGGGTCGCGAAGCCTTACACGGGGGGTCGCGGGTAAAAGAAAAAGACAAGTGTTTGTAGGTCCTACACTACATTAAAAAAAAACTACAATTTCAGCGAGAAGGCTGTACCTGTTTATTATACAGTACAGTTGGTTTTTTGATTGACATTTAGGTCCGAATGATGGGTGTCGCCTGGGAGGGACCTGGGTGTGGGCCGAACCCATTGTTATTATAAGAAGGAAGTAACATACTATACATGTCTTAAGTTATTGTCGATTCTCCATAAATGTTCATTTTAGTCAACAGTAATTTCTCTCAACAGAAAGAAAATTAAATACATAATTTTTTAAATCACTGATATAGTTCTAATATGGCCCTAGGGGGGTCGCCAGAATTTTTTAACTTGTAAAGGGGTCGCGTATTCAAAAAGGTTGAAAAACACTGCCCTAAACGAAACCGGGCAATAAGTGAACGTTAGAACTGCTTAACATCGCGCCCCAGAGAAGGCAACGGGAAACCACTCTGGGTACTAACCTTCCCTAGTAACACCTTGGCGTATTATTAACTACTTACTAATCTGCGCCGGGTGTCGCCGACGTCAGGAATCTGATATGGCACCAAGAAGAAGAAGAACTGCTTAAAACGATGAATAAAAATTGATATTGAGAACAAAATTTTGTGTAAAGATACTGTATACAGTGGTACCTCGGTATACGTCTGCTTTAGAATACGTCCAATTCGGAATACGTCCTGTTTGGATGAAACAAATTTTGCTTGGTATACGACTTTTGTTCGGGTATATGATGAAATTCAATTATACGCGCCATCTATGAACAAGTAGCACTATCAGTGTATTAGACCAGACTAGACGTTCGTGGTGCAACGGTCTATAACTTTGTTAAATTTCTTCTGATTTTAATTTGTAAGTAAAATTTTATTATTTTTATTAATGATGAATTGCAAAAAGGCATCAGAAAAATAAAAAATGACTAGAATTACAATGGAACTGAAAAAAGAGATTGTTGAGAAATATGAAGGTGGCATGCGTGTTCGAGATTTAACTGTTGCATACCGTAATCCGAGAACGACGATATCGACAATCGTGAAAAATAAAGACATTATTAAATCTGCTAACGTTGCGAAAGGGGTTAAATCAATTTCTAAACAGAGATCGAAGACATTAAACCATGTTGGGAAATTGCTTTTGCTTTTAATAACTGAAAAACAGTGTGCTGGCGACAGCGTATCAGAAGCAATTATTTGCGATCTCATGAAAAATCAAGCAGAAACTAACCAGGAAAGAGAGGTGTTTAAAGCTAGCCATTTTTTTTAACATGAGAACGGATTAATCATTTTTACATTACTTCTTATGGGAAAGGTTGGTTCGGTATACGTCCAATTCGGTATACCAAACCAACCTTTCCAGTACCAAATCAATTCGGTATAAGTCCAAACATCAGGAACGGATTAAGGTCGTATACCGAGGTTCCACTTTATTTTGAAAATGGCTACTTTTTAGGCGGTTCTCGATGCATATGTAAAAATTAGCTCGAGTTTAATGACAAGTTATTTCTTAACTTTTTACTTTAAATTAGATGTAGCTCAATATGCTATCGAAATACCAGTTTTTATTGTGAATCTGTGAAAGAATCGCGATAATCTATAAAATTCCAAATATACAATATATTATTTTATGCTTTTTATATAAAATGTGCTTTACTAAGTATTAGATGTGTGAAATATATTATAGTGTTTATTAATTATTATATGTTTATTTTATTAATTATTTTGGTTATAAGCCTATAACCAAAATAATTAATAAAAAAAAAAACATTAAGTTATATAAATGTTAACTTACATCAAGTCAAAATCATTCAAGATGCTTTTTTAAAAATTTGAATATCTATGGAAGCTCAGTATAAATCTTTGCTTTTGCACGCTGAAGTAAGCTTGTTATTCTGGGTCAAGAGTTGTGTCCATTTTAGAACTTAAGAATAAATTATTGTCCTTTTTCTAAAATGAAGATACGAATGCTTTTATAGAATATCTTAAAAATGATATTTTGATTTATTAAAATGGCATACTTAGCAGATATTTTTAATTACTTGAATGGCTTAATACAAATATTCAAGGAAAACGTGAAAATATTTTGACATCCATTGACAAACGTCTGCATTTCAGAAAAAGTATCGCTTTGAAAAATCGCATATCAGAAAAAATATAAACTTCATAATAAAAATGCTGAGGGAATTATTTCCATTATAACAGAACATGTAACACTATTGAAAAAAAAAAAANCGTAAGTAAAATACTAAATATCCTTCAGATAAAATTAAAATTCTAACAAGTAGACTAACACTGTAATTAAACCTGTCACTTCATATGATATCTTGAAATTTATGTTCGAAATAGTTCAAGTACATAATATGCACGTTTAATTAATATAACACTGTAAAATGTACGACAGTGGTTCCCAAAGTGGTCGCTACCGTCCCCCCAGAGAACAGTGAGTAAAACTAGGGGGCGAAAAGAAGCAGGGAGAGGCAGGACCGAACGATGACTATATTTTAATTTATTTGTATTCAGCACTAACCATAAGTAAAATATAATCTTGTAGTAAAATGTATTTTATATATAATAATATATACTGCTTCATTAACTACTTTTTATTATAAGCATCATTAATTTAATTAAAGCCTTTTTAACTTAGAAATATTGAATCTTTAATATGGCTTAAAATTTAAATATTTCTAACAATAATTATAAACATTTGATCGCTTTTATAATACATATATTTTTTAAATTATTTGGTCATATGACAGTTAAACTTAAGGAAAAAATCATTATATTTCGCAAGATAACGGTTATGCAACGTAAATTTTATAAAAGAAATTTCGTATTAAAACAATCGTTGGATGAATGAGAAAATTGTTTGAGTC